AGCCGAGCCGAGCCGAGCCCGGCGCACCTGGCCCCGGGGCAGGGACGGTGCAACCTGCGGGGCGGGCCGCGGGATCCACAGGAGCCCCCGGCCCCGCTCAGCCACAGCCCGCGAGGCGGGGGTGGAGAGGGACCGGCCTCGGACCCGGTCCCCGGGGATCCACAGGAAGCGGGTCCGGAAAGAGATCCCCGGGGATGCATAGGAGCAGGTCCCAAGGGAGATCTGCAGACACCCATCGAAACGGATCTCCGCACGCATCCCCGGGGCTTCCTGGACGTGGTTTAGAAACACCTCGCCGCTTTCTGTCCCGTCCAAGTCGGGGTTTCCAAGCCCCTCGTGTTGGCCCCCCGCCCCTCCAGCCTGCATCCCCCGTCCCCGCCGCCATCAATCAATCACCTACCTTGTTTGTCCTGCTCCCCTTTGGTCATCAAGGGTCCTCAGCCCGCTGTGTGGTCTGGCCGGCTGTAGCTCCCGCTGAATAGTTTCCAAGATTGAGGTAATAGATCAAATGGCACTTTGTTGTTGGGGGGTTTTGTGTTTTTCCCCCCAAGGGGCGGTTGGGGGGACAAGGGGAAAGATTCGAAGGAAAAAAAAAAATTGAAAATTACTGAGCTCTGCTCATTTTTTTTTTTCTCCCCACTTTTTTTCTTTTATTATTATTATTATTACTCCCCAATTTTTTTTTTTCTCCTTAAGTTTCCAGCCCAACGTTTCTTAAAAAAAAATAAAAAAAATCTCTTGGAAATAATAAATTAGAGGCTGGTTTCTCGCGATCGAGCTGAAGATCCTGTTTCAAACCCAGCTCGCCGGGAGCCTAAAGAAGTTGCGAGGCAGGCTCTGAAAGTTGGGAGATGTCTGTAGAGATGCATCAGTCTCGAGGCTCTTTGGTGATGCCTGGGCTTCCCGAGCAGCAGCAGCAAAAGCAAACCGGTAATATTTCCCAGACGTCCTGACTTTTTCTTTTCTGCTGCTGCTTTACTCCACGTTATGGGGTCGACTTGTTTTAATAGGGCGGAGGATGGGGACGGGGAAGAGGGAGGGAACTCCTGTA